ACAAAGGAATTTGCCAAGGAACCGTTCCTCAAAATTACAGCCGCCATGGTCAGTTCTCGGCCTCTCCGAAAGCTAATAACGTTTGTGATTGCGTAACCGTTTACGAATATTATTTTGTAACGGCTATCGAAAAATGAAAAGAAAATGCACGATCAAAATGGAAAAGATTGCCCCTTTTATTATAAATAGGAATTTGAGTAGTAAAAAACAGGATTCAAAAGTATAAAGAATACTTCAAAATAATACCTTGTGAATACCGGTTACCACACTGATACATACACTGATTCCCAAAATACTGACTCAATTATGCGCGTGTACGTTGTAAGCAGAGGAGAATACTAAGGAACTTTAATGGGTGATAAATTTCTTTTTAAAAAAAAAAAATAATTTTTTATTTGTACCAACGTTTCAACCCAAACATGCGGGTCATCTTCAGGGCGTGGTTTGAGCACTGAGGGTGTTCAAGTACTCTTAGGAAACTCTAAGTGTTCATGTAAGGAACTTTAAGGTTAATTTTTGGTAAGTATCTTAACTCAACACTAAATCTATGGAAGGGATCAATCAATGGATTAAAGCTAGCACCGATGGACACCGGTTTATGTTGAGTTTAGAAACGACAAGATGGACTCTAGCGGACAATTAACTAGAAAGCAATGCGCTATTTATGGATCCATTGATGAGTTTAGGAAAGGCCAGATTGATTTCTGATATCCAATCAATCGGTAGAGCACTGAGGATTTTTCGCTAGTGAAAAAACTTGTCATCTTTTATGTTTAATTACTTTTCGAGTAGCGTTGCATTTCACAATTAAAAGCCTCAGCAGTTAGACAGAATTTCGTACTTTATTCTGCTTCCTCACAATACAATGTAGGGAAACTCTACATTAATGTAAAAAATGAAAACATTTGTTATCTCAGAATCGAAAATTTGGTTTCATGTCTGTCTATAGTCAAATCTACATGATAAAAATCACCTACAGACCTCATCGCTCAAATTGAATTATCTGAAAATTGTCTACCTTCGTATCGGTTTTTGCACAGCAATATTATCTAATCCCATTCCTTACTTTCACTTTAGAATTTCTGAATTCTCATTTTCCTCGGCACATTTATATTTTAAGAAGGGCACGCGCAATATTTCCCAAAGTTCAACTAAAGATAGAAAATAATGTACAAATGATCTATTTGTAACACACGAGGATGATTCAAAATTTCAAATTAACTTAATTGTAAAGAGCGTCTACATAAGCTGATATAAACAAGATATGTCTAGAACTGTAAACTTCCTTAAGTCTATGAAAAAATTCTTTGAATACCGTGATATACAGAACGATCACGTGTACAATAGGTGAAAATCTAAGTTATCGATCATTTCGTTGAACTGTAAATGATCTTTAGTATGGAACAGTAAAAGGATTCTCAGAAAACAGCTGGAATTCGGTCAATAATTGCATCAAGGATCAGGAATTGTTAATAAATTAACATTACCTTTTCAAAAAAAGAAATAATAAATAAGAATATCCCATTCAATGAAGAAATTACTAGCATGGATGATAGTAAAACAAAAATTAATTAATTGCTAAAACCAACTAAAATTAAAGAAAATAAATATTTAAAATTTACTAAATTAAAATAATTTTTAAACTAATATTTTTTTTTATCCATACCAACGTATAGCCCCTCAGATATAATAATCATTTTTAAACAAATTCAATTTGTGGATTGTCAAAGGAAATGTTGGAATGGAAAAGCACGCTTAATCAACTATGGCTTTGAAATTTGAAAAGAATGTAATTTTTTAAGATATGAATTCTAAAATATACCAAAGGATTTTTTTCTTTTAAATATGACACGATTTTAGAAGCAATTTTACTAATAGAGTTGTGAAGGGATGTGGTTTATTCAACCAAATAGGAGAATGATATATTTATAGTGGCTGTTTAATACGACCATCTATATTCACTAAATTTGTTATTTATATTCAACCTACTAGTTGTGAAGTTTCCTTACAATTCCATTTGCATATTGTATGTCAATTTGATATTTAAATTGGACATGTGTCACTTCTTTATTAAGTCTCAAGCTAACCGTGTTACTTTTGTATAATCCTACTAATTTTGCAAGCATAAAAAAAAATGTATATTTCTTAATTTACATCTTATTTACAACGGGAAAAAAATATATATAGCATAGTAACATTAATCAAAATACGCGTTCGGGTACAACTTATACAAAAATTAAGAATTACCTAAATCACCTGGCAGCTTCTTTATATATATATATATAAGAATTAAAAGGTGATCATTAGCTTATTTAATTGTTGGTGGTTGCTGTTGAGAGTTACAGATCCTATATTAATTAGTGACAGAATAAAAATAAAAAAAAAAGATTGGCGATGATGTAAATTTATTGCTTTTAAAACATGTTTTTATTTCTAAACATTAAATCATTTTTTTGTACTGTTTAATATCGCCATAATGAAAAAACGTCCACCCTCTCCCTCTGCAGGAAATACCAACACCGATGATGGTATTTCAATTGGTACCATTCAGGTTGAATGGTGATAATTCAAATTCATTGTTTTTAAAATACGCTTTTTATTTTTAGAAATAAAACGCAAACAATAATAATTTATTATACGATAAATATGTCCATTATTCAAATATACAAATCAACTTGTCAATAATAATAATATTTAAAATTAAATTAATTTGCATATTACTTAATTCATTTGATTTATTTGATTTTACTTTTCCCACTATTGTACATTTTTTCTGACGTATTGTCCAAATAAATGATATACTTCACGGTAATATTATTAAAAAACTAACAATGATTCTCACGTTATATAAAATTAATTATATAATAACAGATTATTTTAATAATCAATATGAGACACTTTCTGCTATTTACTTAATTTTCGGCATAAAGTTTTATGGCGTATTGTTAAATTATTGGTATTCATCATTCATTCAAAGCAATCATCATTTATTATTTTGTTACAATAAGTAATGTAATAATTATGAATCATATACTCTCGAGAATATCCATCTAGTCCTAATGCTGAGTGGAACCTGGTTAGTTTAATAATCTAAAAGTGATGGAATATTAAAGTTTCAGAATAGATAACAAAAGGGCTTTTTTTTTTTAAATTAACACCATGTTAAGAAACCTTAATAAACTTTCAATGATTATTTCCTATTTTTAGGAATGATTGTTAAAAATAAAAAACAATTCATTGTAAATTACAATCAATAACCTTTCGTTAGATCGGTTAGTTATTTCTAGCTTTGTAATTACTTCATGAATAAATAAAACGAAGTATATATCATTGTAATCCATCCTAGGTTATTTATAAAAAAATTGTATTTAATAATTTGCATTTTGTGAATTGTCGTGTTTGTCTTGTATTATTTTAACCAGTTAGATTATCAGTATTTACATAAAAGTGGGAAAATGTAACAAGGAACGGATAATCTATTTTATTTTTTAATGTTAACAATTATAACATCTATCCGGCTAAGGAAAAAAATATATTACTTTTTTGTACCTATAAATTTATTATTATTTTTTATTCCAATTCATTTTTTTCGTAAGTTACTTGGGACACACTCAGGGTCAAAAAAATGGGTACATGGCCTTTCGTTGGTTTGGAAGTGGAAAAGATATTTGAAAGTGGGTGCTACGAAATTACTTTTTTTCGTTATAGAAATTACTTGTTAAGATTTAATAATCAATTTCTTATATTAGCCAAATGATACAGAAGCGTCCCTAAGGAGGAAAGGAGGAGAGGGAGACAACTATTAAAAATGGTAATCTGTTCATATTTGTTTAATAATATATAAATAAATGGTAATAACTTCTATGCGTCTGATAATTTCTTATGGGACTAATTGCCGGATTAGTATTGTAATAGTAAAACATGAAAAAAATAAAATTAAAAAATAATTGTACTTTGCAAGACCAAGACTAAGAACGCTTCACTGTTGCAAGACCAAGACCAAGACTGGCAAAAAAATTCGATTTTTTGAATAAAAATTAAGGCAAAATAGTTACTTATGCTTGACAATTTTAAATACTATATGTAGAGTATTGGTATAACCAATATACTTTTACATTTAACTCTTATCATTTTTTATTCGGGCTTACTTAGGTTTCCCTTATCTGAAAAAATACAGTAATATTTCTATATTAATAAGCTAATAGGTAACTGCAAGACCGTTGCGAGACTCTTGCGCAAGACCAAGACTCGTGTTGGTTTCGCATTTGGGCAATGCTACTTCCATTCCTTTTAAAATTTTACTACGTATCTGTAAATACTAATAATCAAACGTTGAATATAATTAATGAAAGAAAAAACCACAATTCACAATACTAAATTACTAGATATTGTTTTTAAAATAAATTAGAATGGATTAAAATTATATACGCCTGTTGTAATTATAATACTTTGTACCTTTAAATTTATTGTTGATTTTTGAATTGCAATTTCTTTTAAATTCTTTATAATTTAATTGTTCGTAACTTCACATATTGCTTAAAAGCTAAAATATATGTATTTTGTGAGGGCTGAAATGATTGATGAGTGGTTGAAAATGCATGTTGTAGATGAATACATTTAAAAAAAAAAATCTTATAACACAAAGCTAGTAGTTTTATTATTTTTAATTATACAAAAAACTATTCTAATATAATTTTAAAATGATCGATATTAAATAATTTATAATTATGATTAAAAATAAGAATGGAACAATAAATAAATAAGTTAAATTTAGCTGTGAGATTGCAGGCTGGCAACTCATAACTCTTGGCGAGGGGAAGGGTTGGACTTTTTGTATTTACACGGCATACGATTGCCTTGGGATAAATGTGGATCGCATAAAAAGCTATCTGGTCCTTGACGTATTGCCTCCGAACGGAATCCTTAAGAAAAAGCCATCCTTTTCTTCGAGTTGGCCAGGACCTCTGCAAAAAGGCAGCTCTTGTTTCCTACCGAATTGGTCAGTTCTTCTTTGGCTGTATATCTTCATCCAGGTCGTCTTCTGTCAGGTTCGCGGCTCGTATATTTGGTCCTCGGTTTACTTCCTCACAGACTATTAGCCGACGATTCCTCCAGAACGCCTGGAATTTATCTCTAATATACGACGGCTTGAGTGAGCCTTTGGAATCATTGTTTTGAAGAAACTCGGAAGTATGCGATGTTTTATTGGTTACCACATTTTAAATAAATAAAATTAACGTAAGGTATATCTACCGGTAACAGACACTTTAAGAAAAATTAATGTAAACCATGGACCATAAACGGTGGATCTTTGCAAATGCGTTAAAGTGAAAGAAAATTTAGCCTTTTATCACACATTTTTTTATACACAATCAATTAGTTAAGTATTCATGAAAAAATTAAGAAATTCTGACAGCGTATTTTGCACCAGTAATAGACACTCAGATTTTTGAGGTAAAAGGTTTTTTTATATAATTAAAAAATCAAAATAAATTCTTGAACGAATAAAGTCTTGAACAAACAAATAGCAAACCACAGATGAATGAATAAATATTTCAAACTTATCTCCTAAAGAAAACCTCCTGGAAACAAACCACACTAGTGGTTCAGGCATCACCCTCTAAAGTGTATTAATCACAATTATTATCCATCCAGTCCCCATAAAATTGTAAACAGACACCACTGTAAATATGTATATAAATTATTAGATCGTTCTTCATTACTTCTACTTTATTTTACATTTTTTATTAATAACTAATTTAAGCTTATATTCTTTTTATTATGACTATTTAATTATTCAGCATTTTTTTTTTTTTTTGTTTCTCTGTGACTCCTTAGCCCACATTTCTGTTTTTCTGTATTATCCTAAATCGACCCAATCAATCAAGAATCAATAAATTATTGCTATTATCTTTGATCTGTTTTTAGTGTATAAAGCATATTATCTGTTGATGAGTTGAAAACTGCCTATTACTGGTACATTTACTTTATGAACAAGAATAATGATTTGTGATAATAAAAATACATATGATCCTTAGTCCTTTAATGCAATTTCAAGAGAAGGAACTTTAAAAAAAAAAACAGCCTAAATGCATTTATACATTAATTACTTTTAAATTCCATTATATATTTACAAATCTTATTTGTTAAAATAAAAATGATATCATTTCATTTTAGCTAATTTATTTCTGTCACATGTTTTCATTTAGTACAGAACCACACTTTTTATATAAGAACATAAAACTAGGGTAAATTAGTCCAATTTTTATTTTATAAAGTAAGGTTTGTAAATATATATTAGATTACAAAAACAATTAACATGCAAATATAATTAGGCTGAGATGTTTGTGTTTTTAAAAGATTTCTTCCATTGAAAATGGCCTGAAGGACAGAAATGTTGGATGAAAATATAAATTATATTATATTGTATGTGTTTTTATTATCAAAATAATCATGAAGTCGTAAAGAACAATATTAAAAATAAACCATGGTAAAACAAGAGCATTACGTCTTTGAGCATCATGATTTTCACTATTCAAAATTCCTTCATAATATCTATAGGTTGAAAATTTGGAATATAGATGAGAATGTAGAAATTGATACTAAAGGATTTTAGTTAACTTTTATACCTAAATGTATGCAGCAAAAAATAAATAGATATAAAATATATAAAAATTCCTTTTTTTAATATATATTTTTTTCATGATCGCGAACCCTTTGAGAGAATTCTTCACGCATCGCAGAAAAATGACAGCGAGGAAAACTCAATCGTGTAATTTCCCGTTATAGTATGGCCTTCTATTCACACCAACTATAAAAGAAGGACCTTGGTTATGCCGGAGCACACATTTTCATGGTTCCAACTGTTGTATTTGTGAAATATTACATTTTCTGTCTGAGTTTTTGGGCACTGTCAGAATCTTAGATGGTCTTTGAATATCCATAGACTTTTTCATTTTATTTTTAAATCAAACTCAATTCATATAGACTACTGAATATAAAATCTCGGCTTGCTATTGACAAAAGATTACTGATCTACAAGATAATCCTGAAACCTATTTGGATCTACGGACTAATACTGTCTGGGACAGCAACATTTTCTTACATGGAACCCATCCAATCCTTTCTGTTCAAAGTCGTTAGAACAACAGCCGATGCTCCGTTCTATCTTACCAACAAAACTGCATCAAGACCTTAATATCCTATCAGTTCTATACCTTATCCAAGAAATATTTTCCTAATTTCATCAGAACCTTACATATCATCCAAATCTTCTAGCACAATCCCTAGATAGCTCCACTAATCCCTAAAATCATATGCAAGAGTTGAAAGGACAGTGGTCCAGCTATTGTAATATGTATAAATTAGAGTTCAGCCAATAACAAGCTCCTTTATTCAATACATGAATGTATACGTCTATAGGGATCGCGCTAAATCTCCACAAGCTTTAGTATCAGTGAAGCAGATTAGAGAGTAACACAGGGATCTCCTGATGTCCTGCTTTTTCCTCCTTAGGTGGTTAGGTAGTCTGCAATTTCCCTTTACTTATCTTTAAGTTTATTTTACTTTCATTCATTGTATACGCTTTTTGATCATTTTTTAGTTGTTAATGTCATTTATATTTTTTGTAAATATGGTGTGAATTTGCACACTATAACCGTTGTCCATATTGTGACAGAATGTTTATTTAAATTATTTGTATTTAGATAGCCCTTCTTGTTTTTAAGACAACACAAGTAAATGAGTGTTAACAGAATCAATGAACAATTATCTAATCAATCAAGATGAATAGGACGCACATTTAGAATATTCTTCAATACAACTGTGAGAACTGGACTCTACTTAGAGTGAGAGAGAGAGAACATAGAGATGGCAACAGGTGCCTCTTTCTAGGCACTTTGTGAGAAGGCACAACAAACAGGTCGCTTTATAGTGAAGCCTTTGTCCTCCGCGTTTCAACAATTCAGCCTTTAGCTCCCGCGGTGCCTTTATCGCGAAATAACAAATAAACATCTAAATAGAGAGGGATATAGTCGTATGAAAGGGCTGCCAGCGTGGTTCTTGCTAATAACAATATCACTGTTCCAAGAGTAGCAGGTCCCCAGTAACAGGTTGTACTCAATGCACCGAATACTCTCTTATCTAACAACAATATTATGTTTCAAGAGATTTCTCACCGAAAACAACATAAAAACAAAATTTAATTTTTTGATTTTGTTTATTTAATAACATTTACAATCGTATACAAATACAACTAGTAAATATGAACAAATTATAAATAATGACATGAACTGGCTAGAAGAGATACTACCCAGTGGTAGCACTCCCTAAATAATTCTAGGTAAGAAAATCACGAGGCCATCTCCTTTTCAGACGCCTAGGAGGATCATCAGGAGTCGAGGAAGAAGCGAGGGTGGAAACAAGAGGATTTGGATAGGACTGGAGTTAATCATGAAAGAATAGATATCTAGGTCGGGCTAAATCAGTGACATATGGTACATTAAGGTTTTATTTGTGACAAAGTATGGAGCATTAAGGATTTTGGATTGTAAGGATTGGATACGATAGGAGAAAATTTAATTTCATTTGTAATATTTGCTGTTTCTCAGAACAGCTCAGTAAAATAAATAATATTTAAAAAGTAAATTATTAGAAATGGGTATAGCCATCCATAAGCAAAAGGAGAGCATTTAATTAATGGATGAGAGAATCAGTCTGATTCCTATTTTTTTTTTCTTCAATGCGAAACTAACAACAACCAACCTATTTTTATCTCGATAAAAAAAGATCTCCTTTTGAGCCAATTTGATTGTATATACGCTTCTATAAAACAATAACGTTATTACAAATTGAAACAGTCCCGTTACTTTCTTTTGTTACCAATCGGATGAAAGGAGTCCTTATTCGTTGAGTTTGATTAAAGTATTCCTTTTTGACGGAATATTCAAGTGGAGTAAGGAGAACGACTATGCATATCATTATAAGTATCCTTTTGTTATCAGACTCGTTAACTGTCTAGTGTATATGTTGATAAAACTTAAAGTATTTGAGTTTTGGATTCTATTACTGCAGTATTTTCGCTAATATTGTTGTTGGTTTAACCAAAATGCATTAAAGTACTCTTTAAGGATCATAAAAGGACCACTTACCTGTGTCTGGGTGAGTCCTAGAGAGGCTGCTAGCTCCGCCCTCTCAGGCAGAGCGAGGTACTGTGTCCTTTGGAACCTGCGGTTGAGCTGCTGGAGCTGGAGGCTGGAGTATATCGTCCTGGGCTTCCTCATCTTCTTGCCCTTACCGTTCACCCTCAGGCCTCCCTCCTCGCCGCACTTCTCTGCAAGAGGAAATCATTCATGAATTATAACACAATTGTATTTATAACAATATTATAAGTAAATATGTAATTCAATAACATCAAATTATATATAAAATAATTTATTACGGTACGAAAATAGTAGACCGTAATCCCAAATAAACAAACACATACCATTTATTGTGGTAGAGTTTATTTTAACTGTCAAAGTTTCGACCTAACTTGTTCTTCATCAGGACATTTCATCTAGCAATACCCGATGCAGTTATCTAGCTTCATCCGACATAATATGTGAGGTTATATATATACGTTATATAGGTTATATATATTACCTAGTATGTGTCTTACTGATTGCACCCTCGACCAATTTCTCCTTTATATAAGTTAATTTAATTAAAATGAGATTTATTTATTTTAATCTTCCCCTCAATTATATTGCGTAAATAAAACTGATATCTGTGAAAAAGTCTGATGAGCATAATTTAATTTATATAACTGAAAAATGAATTATATGTATTGGAATTTATTTATTTATGTATACATTAAGAGGTGTTTGCTAGGTTCTCTTCAACGGAATAATCAGAAATAGTATAGTAAAGAAATGTCACACATAAAAAATCTCACATTATAATCTCAACTTCTAAATAATCTTTAACTCGGAAAATTTTAATTAAAAAATTAACATTTAAAATATTTAGATCAAATTCCAATTGCTCTACAGATAATAATACCATAGATTTTTTTTTAATTAGAAATAAAAATTACTAAGTTTTACAACAAATCTGGAACGTTTTATTTAGAAATATAATAAGCGTTACATTTCCATATAATGTTAGTGGTTGGAATAAATATAACAAATACATAATTCAGTCGTAACGTAATACAAAATCTTTCACAGGGCCAAGTAAGGGGAAAAAAATTAATAAAAATAATAGATATATATGACTATAAATTATATTAAACATTCAAATTTAATGCTCATTAAACTTGAAACTTGAAAAAACTATTTTTAATATCTTTAGTACGACACAATATCTATAAAATTATCAAATTAAGACTTATGAAATTAGTTAATATGCACCAAAACGTTCCAACTCTAATAATGTGTCAATTAGTTGTGTTATTTTATTCAACAAAATAAATTTATTCTATAACTGACGATTCTTTGAGATAAATAAGATTGAAGAGTTAAAATGTCTAAAAAAAAATCAACTTTATTTATTAATAAAATAAATAAATAAGCTATATTATAAAAAAAAAAAAATGCTACTCTGAAAAATATTGTTCGCTTCTTACTTCCGAAGAAAATAAATAAATAATTCTATAGCCTATAATTCTAATAATTCTATAATTAATAACATTATCTAAATTTAAAATATCCTAAGTTGCATTCATATTTTTTTAAATGATGAAAAATATAGTTATAGCGGTATCTACACCATGTAACTGTTAAGAGTATAAAAATAAGTTTATTTATAGTTGATAAGAAACTTAAAATAACTTATTCTAATCAATTTTAGATTCATATAATTCTTTAACAAAGAAACTGTCATTCGCGTTTAAAATGAACACAATGAACCCCTCTCCGATACGTCCGTGATAGCTAAACCGACACCTTATTAATTACAGAGGTCGTTTCGAAACACATTTTAAAATGTAAATTATTTATATAACTGACAAAATAAAATTGGAAAAATAAATGAAAGGAATGACGGATGACAGTAATGATAAGATCCGTTCGGACGCCATGGCTATCTTCATATCGCACACCTCTAATTACCGGCTCACCTGTCTTAATCCCTGTCCTCCCTAAACCTTACTTATTGTTTTCCAAAAAAGAAAACAAACGTTAAATATTCATCTAGATAGGTATGGTATACCTCACTTGTATAGTAGTGTGGAGAATTTTAATTAGAAATCGGGTAATGGAATTCAAAAATTTAAATATATAATTCCTATCAACTTGGGACTTGATTGGTGGCATGAGAAAATGTAAGGTTGAAAAGTGGGCTAAAGTTAAGTCACACCTGAATTTATAGGTTATTATCAACAATTTTAATTTTTTATGTATACATTGATTGTTATAATTATAAATCAAGAGAAGGAAAAGTCAATTAAAATATAAATATCAGGCATATCTTGGTTTATAGTAAAAAGTCACTAAGTATATTTTTGATAGAGTTGAACTTTTAAGAATCTTTTGCGAATTTCGAACTTATTTATTGATAAAAAAAAAAAACGTAAGTGCACTAAATTGACAAAAACTCATTTATTTATCAAATATACTTACAACATGCACACAATTTTCTAGCTTCACAAACTGAAAATTCATCAAATATTTTAGTAATTTCGGGTTTCGAAATGTCACTTAATGACTTTTTGCAGTAAATTGATAATGTATTTTAATATAAACATACACAAAGATTTATTCATAATATAAGATGCTTCACATTAGTGGTGAATATTAGGATGAGAACAGCAGTTACAATAAGCCCACAGATTATCATTAAATTTAACAATATCACAATTCTTAACAGACCATTCTATCAAATGACTTTTATATAAATTTCATAAAAAATATTAATGCAATTACAATAAATCATTTCAATATGAACATTTTTATATACACTATTTTATTTCGATTCGGAAGGTAATCTATTTTTTAATAATTTATTTTTTTTTATTATACTCGTGTCTTGTTTTTAAAATTTGTATTATTTTTCCCTAATTTTAACTGTCCATTCTTTTTGTTTTTACCTATTTATTTCTTCTGCGGATATAGTCCTTTACAGCTCTATTACCCTTAAGTGCGATAGAATGTATTATTTCTGAAGTACAAAAATATTACAAAAAAAATAGTCTGTTTTTATTAGCCATTATGAACTACCTAAAACTTATGTCGATACGTAAGGAAACATTATCAGATATTGATCATAATATTTATTTAATTTTTAGCTTCTTCGCTTTATGATTATTCTTAATGTTATACTCAAAACAGTGAAAAGTTAGTTTCTATTGAAAGAATAAGCATCTGTTTAAATAAATTTAAAAAAAAAAAACTTATTAATGGTTTAATGGGGGCCCTCATCTTCATCATGTATGAATTTAAAGAATATACTATAAAAGTAAAATTTGTTTTTATTACCAATATATTATGAGATCTAATTAATTCTTCACTTTTGACAATCAATTTAGTTCTTGAATGGACGTTACAGTGTTATTCCGTGTTAGTTCAAATGGAACTGACGTTGGAACTGCAGATCGAGAACATCGTTCCCGTCGATATCACAGAGGACAGATAACAAATGTCAGGACTGCGTTTCCTCAGGGACAGCCTGATCCCGAACAGGGAAACAGACGGACGGGGAATGAGGCGGAACGGAACTAAAAAAAAAAAAAAATTCCGCCTGTTGGTCGTACGGTAGTTGGACGAAGAGGATGGATGCCCTGACAGATGTTCGCCACTGACGGCAACAGGTGAAAGAAGCGGCTAGACCAACAAGAGCTTCCAGCAACAACATTTGTTACAACAAAGCAGGCCCTTATGTAACGGTAGATATTCCGTCAGTCCAGTCTTTTGGGAGTATTAATGGCGTCATTAGGTAATTAGAAGGTCCATGTCTTAACTACCCGAAGGTACGGCCAATCCAGATTTGATAAACAATGGTACGTTATAAGTTGAAGAGTTCCAATTTATAAAACAACTACTAGTGGATCCAGAATTTAATTTTTTTTTGGGGGGCTTCAGCCCGAAAGCTTTTTTTTCATAAAAAAACGATAATTACTTTGGAAAAAAAGAAAGAAACTAATTACCTATAAGAAATGGTGTTTAAGTGATTCATACAAAGCTCTTTTAAATGTAATTACACGAACAATTATACTTTGAGAGATAAGTTTTTAATACTTTTTTCGATAAAACATGGTTATATTTTCTCATTTTGGGGGGACTTCGGCACAAAAGCCTCCCCCTTCCCCCGTAGATCCGCCCATGAAAAGAACTGTAACAAATATTATGTAACTAGTAGAATCTAGGCTTGAAATAGACAGGTCTCGAAACCTAGCAATGTTTTTGAGTAATCATAGAAATGAGAACTTTGCCTGGATATTTTTATACACGTATTTTTCTTAAAAGTATAAAAGAAAAAAAAATACATACAATACATTAATTCATTGATAAACATTTAATACTAAATAAATGTTCGATATGATATATAAAAAAAGGTATATGCATTATTTGGAGGCTCAACTTTGAACTGACTCACTCATTTAACTAAGTAAAACTTGGAATGTTTCAAAACTATTCTATTAACCCTTAGTTTAAGACCAGTTAGTTTTAAAATTATAAACCACTTAATTTTCGTTATTATCTTTTTTTTTTCTTAAAATACATATTATAATGTATGAAATAATTATCAGCCTGATATTGAATATATGCAATACCAGGATGAAAAATCCAACATGATTTTTGAAATCTCTATATATTATTTCTTAAAAACGTTTTTATTTATTCTTATTTTTCCCCCAAATGCTTCATCAAAACCATCGATGGAACCAAGATAATTAAATTCTTTTAAATAGCTAACAGGACTCGGTATTTGAGTTTTATTTTATTATTTTCAATAATGAACACTTTTAATCTATCGATTTCATGTTCAACCTTTTCTGTCTAAATGTACTGCATTTATTTAATTATTATATATGATATTATCATTTTAGGACTAACTAATATACTAAACGAATTATTCACGCTTGCGAACTATTCTTAATTTTATTAAATATTTTAGTAAATATATATTTATAGCGAATTCCTGGAGTAACAATTATTTAGAATTTCATCTGACCGACGATCGTAAAATGAAAAATAGTTTAGTTTTTTTGATTATCTAGAATTTCTTTCCATGTTTAGTTATATCTTAGAACACTATTTTATAAATATTACAAAATTATATATATTTTACATATTTTTTTTCAAGAAATTTCTGGGGGGTAGGGAAAAAATATATATATATATTTTATACACAAAATAAGTTATTGCTTCTAATTAACATGGTTGAGAAAATAAGTCAGATTTTCTTCTTCATGTCATATCTTCCATCCAGTAAAAGCCACCGAAGTAACCTTCAAGAATGAGAGGCTTATGATGTAACATCATTATTAAAAGAAAAATTGATTACAACTACACACAGAGAGTTATAAATTCCGACAGGGAAAGACGTTTTGACGTTTCGAAAACATGCACTGATTGCAAAATATCGCCCGATGGAATGGAAAGTGCGTCGCCTAACTTCATTTCATCAGAGTAAAGTCATTACAATCGCATGCAAATGTCTTCGGTATGAACATGGGCGAATACAATCATCATAAAAAATATAGCTCGGATAAATTTCCTTCGAATCGGGAAGAAAAAATATTAACAAGAGTTTTCTAGTTGATTAATTTTCTTTTTTCTTCAGAAATAAAGGTTCATAAAAACAATTGTAAGAGCCTCTGGAGTTTCGTAAATATTCAAATTGCCGCTTTATCTCATTAAAGATAATAATCAAATTCGCCCAAAGCATAATGGGATGTTTTTTCAAGAGTTTATGTTTCTTCCTGAAATCTTTTTGATTAAAGTTGTGGTTATTTTTATTTATTTTAAGTAAATACAATTTATTTTCATTTCATTATTTCATATCAGAACAACTTTTAGAAAAAGTTCATAAACAGAAAAAATACATCATCGGAGCTAAGAAAAAAATAAGGTATAAACTATTGAACATTTAATAACAGAACACACTAATATTGAAATAATTGTACATTGTTTTAGATTTTTCCCAGTGTCCAGAATATTACACTGTTTAAAAAAAACTGTATTTTATTTATTATAACTTTATAAATCTTTATTATTATAAATATTTATTATAATTTATATAAATCTGGGAAAAAGTATAAAAAATGTGCATTAATTATTAAAGAATGGAACTCTGATTATGGAGGAGGTCTTCGAAACGTTGGTTTGAGTAGGTTTTATTTATAAAAACATTACATACACAGAATATCTGAGCATTTTCCAAATGGAAAATATAGATTTTTAATATTTATTCCTAACACTTGTTTATATATATCATTTGGTAAACCAAATTTTGAATCGGTATTTATTTCTGATACAGTATGTAATTTGAATAAAATCTTTAAAAATAAATGGTTCAATATAACCATAGTTCGCTCATAAATTAATATTAATCCCCAGAGAAAGGAGAGGATGTGGTTTTATATTCAAAACACGACAGCTAAGAGACTTGAAACAGCAGATGCGTTATGAGTAATTACCTTCTGGACTGACTAAGAACAGAAATAGTAAAAGAAATTTTCCTATAGCACTTTTTTTTTCTGGCTCGTAAACCTGTGACTTGAACGGTAAGTAGGCTTATAAATGTAATACATGTTAATTTAAGATGTAAATGTCAATCGAATAATTTGAAATATAGAAGCTAAAAAGCATTAGCATCAATTATTTATAGGCGATAAATAATTGACTTTCTTCACATAATTATTTTTCCCATACATAATCATTCTACTCTTTTCTTTTATATATTTGTATCTGTATGATATTTTTTTAATAATATTTTTTAATGATATTTTTTTAATAATATGAAGCATCACTTAATTTATCTGTCAATTTATTTTTAATATTTAACAATATCGAGGACATAAATTACAATCGACGGAAATAAATTACTAACATATTTTGTATTTCTGATTAAATTTTAACCCAGAAGCCATGTTTGTATGGAAACATCTTTCATAGAATTAAATAGTTGAAATTAATTTATGATTTATTAACTGAAAAACATATAATGAGCTTCAAATTTAAATCTTCCATACTTGTTTCAATTATAAAAAATTAGAGTGGAATTAAGTAACATTTAATAATTTAAATAAACAAATAGATACAAATCTGATGTATATAATCTTATTTCGTATTCATAAAAAAAAATCATTTCATTACAAAATTGCTTAAAAGATAGAGGGAGATGACACATGTGATAGCGTTGATTGATTACATATGCGTTTCAATTTCTATGAAAATTTTGTAAATGAATTGATTAATGATAAAACGTCCATTAAAAAAAAAATGTAAACATAGAATAACAATTAATCAATTTTTTTTCCTACCAATTTCAATGATATTGACACCTATCGTTGAAAATTTTTTAGGGACTTTTTTTTTAGGTAAAAATATTTTTCTTAGCTTCATTTCTCTTAGGCTTACCGATGAGGTGAGCTGCTGATATCTTGTAGGTGTGCAAATAAAGCACACTTTACAAAAATTTATTTTATGTCTATCAACACTTTCTACAACGTTTTTGCTTACTATTATTTTTTCTTATGTTTCCACACTTTGGTTAGTAACAAGTCGTTTTAATTTAATTTCGCGGGAATAGAATATAAGGAAAATATAAAATTAACCTTATTATCAGCTAGAGATATTAGATTCCACAAAATGCTTTGGAAAATCTATCCTCATTCTTGATATCCCTCTTACCAACGGTCAAATCGCTGAGAAGACAAGTGGGAACAAAACAATTTGTTTTTTTATATACTTATATATAATATATATAATAAACAAGGTAATCTGCCCAGATATCTTGTGTACATATTCAGTAAATTGTACAAGACGAGCAAAAACTGTTTTTTTTTTTTAATAAAAAGCTTCTTAGATCTTTCCGTGTTATTTTAATTCCATTTAGTGCAGATAGGACATAAGGAAGATATTGAATAAGCCAAATTATCAGATAGGAGGAATTGGAAAGTCAACATCGATATGCTTGAAATGAATCGAATAATCCTCCAAGCAACTTTTTCCAAATACTATTTCTTTAGAAAAGCAAAGATTAAGAGACTCCGTTTTATTGGGATAAATAATTTGTAATGAGGGGCCTAATGTAGTTAGAGATTGCAATCTCATCTGATTATTTTTTTTTTTTTGTGATCAATTACCACCGACTTTCTCCTATAAGCACTATCATTAGTAACTCATCTCCAAAGAGCTTCAATTGAGTTTATTAACTCTAACTTGAATATTTTTTTTTTTTTTTGAGAAAGGGTCACTAACTCCCGTTGGACGGTGTTTGTACTAGAGGGGTCTATCGGAAGATCTGCTGCATAATGGGTAGCCCGTGGTGGCCGATGCCTTGTATTTAGCAGTTGTTTAATCAGAGCCCTCGGAGCACAGATATATCTAGCGGTCTACCGTATAAAGACCCCTCCGGCCCCGGGAATAAGCTCAATGATTATTGTTATTATAAGACGGAAAGTATCATAATTAAAAGATTAATACCGGGCGAGTGTAATCGGTGGTGATGGATGGTCAAGTCGTGGCGGGTTCGACCACCATTAACCCAGCTCTCCAACAGATCTCTCGGATTAATTATCACTTACCTATTCTCTTTCCAGGGAGAGAATAAGGCCTACGCATTCGTCGTAAGGCATGTACATCGATAAAGCCATCAAGTAGACAAAATATTATATTTTACATACAAAAAAAAAATCAGTATTTGGTAAGAAAGTACCGTATCTTGATCAAAAAGATATTCAAAAAGGTGATGTTTTCAAAATCTATGTTGAATCGCTAGGAATAGTTATTAAATTAGTATGGGATACGAAACAGTTAAGAAACGCTCAGAATAATTAAAATATATATATATATATATATATATATATATATATATATATATATATATATATATATATATATATATATATATACTTTATAATAGTATGTAATGTATACTTCTGATAATTATTTATTGTACTTTTCGGGGAATATGACTGGTATGTGAATAGCATATGACTGGTTTCTAGATTGAACCTAAAATATATTGGTACATTTTTTTAGTTTGCTGAGGAGTGAGACACAGATTCCCCGAAACGTACAATAAATAATAATCAGAAGTTTTTTTTTTTAACTTTTATTATGATATTTACAACTGTATTAGAATGAATACATCAAGTAAATGTGTACATAGGAATATTATCACATGAAACACGCTTGTTGAGAAACTACCCGTTGGTAGCACTCTAATGTATCAGAAGTTAATTTTGATTTTTATTATAATGATCTGTGAGATATAAACTTATGTTATTGCATTAAATAGACAATATAACATAAAGGTAAAATATTTTTTAAATTATATATATTTATATATTATGTCTAATGTAGCAGCTCAACAAACTTTGCATACTGTGAAAATCTTAAGAGAAACCTAAGGAAAACTGATTGTTTTTAAACTGTTTTGTTAGGTAGATAAATAAATCATTTTCAAATACAGAACGGCTTTCACAAGACATTGCGCAAATAAATTTTTAAAATAAACATATGAACCAATTTAAAAATGGAATATCTCTGATTTTATTATTTAATTTCGATTATTTATTTATTATTTTGTTTTGCAGGGAATTTGAATGTCTTTCAAATAAATATATATTTTTACTTTTTCAATTTATAAGTTTTAATGGATTTAAACATAATCGAAATCCATTTATAACGTTTTGGCGCTACTGTCTATAAAATACACGTTTTTCAGCCGCCATTTTGAAATGAAATTACGGATGTTAATCTCGAATTCCTAGTATTGTCGTAGGATGATTATGTGTGACTTTACTGGCAAATCTCAAAATAAATATTGGCAAACGAGTCAATATTTCCGGAAAAAATCTGCAGACAGCAAACAGACGGATTTACCTATCTTGATATGTAAGACTTTAAATATATATATTATATATTTAAATATATATATATATATATATATATATATATATATATATTTTATTCCATCATAAAAGTTCATCATCCTCAAACATATAATTATATAGTAAATTTTAATTTCTTTGATTTTATTTTGGTGACCTTTGGCCTAATATTTTATAAAAATCTTATGTGAAAATGGCATCGAACCTGAATGATATGACTAGAAAATTATTCTTTGATTAGACTTCATTTTATTCTTCCGTCTAATATCTTGTCATCGGTTCATTCGTAGAACAACTTAGTATATATTTTATGTACAGCCGAAACAATTATTAAAAGAATAATCATTTTCCACAGAGGACAACAATGGGCGAATTCTACATCATCATATTTTACAAAATTCAAGTAATTATATAGAAAAGTTTCATTAGATTTGGACAATATATTAAAAATAGGTAACTGTCCAGAGGTGCTACATAAAATAATTATAGTTTGTCTTTGTATGATATTTAATAAAAACCTAACAAACGATAAACAAAAAAGGTCTCAAATGACAATAATTACACATGCTTTGAAGAATTTTAAGATAATGACATATATAAATAATTGAATAAAGTTAAGCATCGCTTACTGATTACCTGCAAGACACTTATGTAAAGCTTTTAATAGAATGACGCATTCGCAGCATCTTCCACGCATGGCAGATAAGTACCGAGTAACCAACCATCTTATGTAGTGTGAAACCAAGCTTTGTGTTCTTTTTAAACAAGTTTTAACAAATACCATTATAGCCTCAATGTCTTAAACTTCATTATGATACCAAACGCTTATATTGAAGAGAAATATATATTCAGAAGAGATAACAAAAGAAGAAATAAGAATATTTCTCAGGTCGTTAGAATAATATATAAATACTCATAAGTCTATGTAAATATGTACACAACCATACACTATCTTTTTAATAAGGGGTTGAAAATGTTTTCACATTAAATTTAACATTTTTCAAAAGCTTCATTTTAATAGTGTCGAAGAAACATTTTATGAAAATGTTATAAAAATTTCCTACTTACATTTCTGTAATAAAGTTTTTGGTTTAGAGTAAAATTTTAATATATATTTATTTAATTTCTTAAAAAAAAATGTAATGTTAAATAAGAAACGGCTAGTAAGTGGACATAGATTATCAATATAATATGTTTTGAATAAATAACTAGATTTTTATATTTCCTTTGTTTGAGTAGTTAAGAACGTTTTGATAGAACGCTCTTAAATTATTTTCAACCACTACTGACGTGACTGCTATTATTTTTGCTGTTAAAAAGGAATAAGTCAACAAAAGAACATAAAATGATATTTTATAAAAAAAAAATTATAATAATTATATTTATGCTAGATAAATAAACGCTCTAAAATGTAATAATAAATAATAACATTAAAAATTGAGTAGAATATGGGAGTCCAAAGGCCATTTGGTACAAGCAATAAAATGTAAATATTGAGGAATTTTCAGTAAATCAACTATCGTAAAATACCTGTTCATTTTATTTTATGTTTTGTCAAAGGTTTCATTTAGCTTAGCGGTTTATTATCCAATTATTTAATTTAAGTTAATTATTTTTATTAATAACACCGCATTTTGGCATAGGGATACTGTAATATTTTTAGAAAAATATATATTTTTTGTAATTCTGTGAAAATGTTCTAATTATTCTAAACATTCTATGATTATTTTTAAAAACAATATTATTAGTTTTGTTAAATTAAATATATATATATATATATTTTACACTTGATTCTTGAACTTAAACAAATATGGAAAATAAAAAAAATCGACTTGGGTCCAATTCTTTTTAATTTTTCTCCTACCCTCAGATTAAAATCATTGGACCACCGGATTTGATTATCTTATGCTTAGTTAATGGCCAGAATTATTAAAAATATTTTTTAAAACAAAATAGTTTTTTTCAATTTTATTAGAACAATAAGCAGAGATGAATATCTCTATTTATGAAATAAATTAATTTTAATAAAAGGTAAATTATCGTTGAATTCACAGTTGACTTCACCGTTCAAGAAAATTTAGAAAAATATAATATACAATTATGGAAGTAAGTTGATGGTCGAATTTCGAATAAAAAATCTTTATTCAAGCGATACATAACATTTCAACCGTCAGTTCCATGGTTCATTAAAATTAAAATTGAATCCACAAATAATATTTAAATTATTAACTATAGATAAGCTACCCATTAATTATTGAATTATTATTAACGTATGAAAACAATAATTATGAGGCAATAAATTGATTAAGTTAATTTATTCAGCAAAATGCTTCTCAATGAAAATTATTTAATTATCAGTAACTTTTCATTTACTTTAACAATTAGTTTACTTTTTTTTTTGTTAAATGGCAATTTATACGAAACACATTAATCAGAATTCTAACTTTTAATATAAATTTTGAATTTTTTTCGATTGTGGAGACAATTTTATCTCAGCAAAATAACGCTTAAAATGTATCTGTCGCATTATTTTTCTTTGTAATTAGTCTTTTCTAACCATTAACCATGCAATTGAAAGTAATGATTATATATATCATATAAAATGATCACAAATGTATTTATAATGTTTATAAAATTAAATTAAAATGTTCAATCCCACTTTTTCTTTAAATTTTTATATTGGAGTGTTAATGTGCTCTCTGAACTCTATTATAAATGTTATTAATTGTGGCATAGTGTAATATTTCTCAATAAGTAAGTTCTAAAAATAAAAATTATAGATATTAGCTAACAATAAATTATTGTCGAAAAATATTTTGATCAAACCGCAACAAAAAAATATAATTGTTAAATTTCAGGAGTGTTTTTTAAATATCTTGTTTGAAAACCTGGCTCTAATGTAAATTGCAAGCATTGGATTGATTTAATAGTTTGCAGAGAAAACAAATATTTATACAAATCAAAATACTTTAATATGTATACAACTAAGTATATTATATTTCTTTTTTTACATAAAGCGGACATTTTTAAGGTAAAACCAGTTGAATAAAAATATAAATTTGAGCTTAGCCAATTTTTTGTTCTATTTTATTCTAACTTTTTTTAAAAGTATATTTCGCCCATTTATAAATCAAATTAACAGAAAAACAATTCAATAACTACATAAGAAATACATTATTTTTTAAATGTATTTGAAAATTGACAGCGGACGCCTGTCGGCAGATTATATAAATTCGCTTACAAGTAATTGAAGATTTTGAGACAAAAAATTCGTTTGTATTTGTTACTTGACATTTTATTTAATTTTGCTTTGCTTCTATACTCTTCCTTCAGTGTTTCATGACGCAGAAGAATAAATTATATTAAGTATAAATTTATTTATTTGTAGATAGGTTTTTGTAACGCCCTATATTTTAAAAGTTTTCTAGTCTGGATTTTTCAGATAATTACCAAAACTGCAGCTGATTTTTGTATTCATTATTCGCAATGGGCTTAAAGAACTTTTTGACTCCAGCAATACTTTGGCGCTCGTTGTCGCAACTTACTTATCCTATTTAAATACAAAATTTTAGATTTTATTGGAAGATAATTTATGAATTTATTTGACTCGTTTTAACAAATCAAACATAAAAAATTCTTTTCAAAACTCATCAAAAACGCCTAAAATATATTTAATGTTTTGTAACAAGCCACAAAAATAATGTGCCGTAAACAGGCTTTTTATTT